CCGAGCAGAGGTTGTCCCATCTAGGGTGCCAAAATTGACTTGCGGAATCAAACCCTATAACCACACAGTAGTTATAAAGCAGGTATGTTGTAATCAGTGCTGCGCAGACACTGGGTGCAAGGGGGATCATTCCTCCTAACTTGCACACCAGCAAGCATAAGTGTTACAGATTTATAAGCAGATCTTATACATATTCATAAGATTCATCTACATATTCATTGCTTTCCGGGAACTGATTTACATGCTGCTCCCCCCTCTGACGCTTGCGCAGTCCGTAGCAAGGGTCTCCCTCTGGTGGTCGTGGGGATGAAGTCAGAAGTCTTCCTCGGTCTGACCTTTTACTTTACAATAGCTCCCCCATCCAAACAGGTCAAAACCAGTTGCTTTAGGCTGTTCTCCCCTTATGTTTGCACAGTTCCTTTGGTCCTGACTGCAAAGAGGTCAGCATGTCCCACTGATCTTCCCTTATTGTTCTTCTTAGTATACTTAACCCTTATGTGAGTGGCTTGATTTACCCAATTCCTGATCTGAGTAGGAGGACTGTTTTACCACAAGTGTTCATGGAATCACCTAATTTATTTGGACAACTGCTGGAGAAAGTTTTGGAAAAGTTTCAGGTTGAAGAGGGGGTAAAGCTGTTAGAGTATGTGGGTGATTTGCTGATTTGTGGAACAGAGGAATCCAAATTAAAAGAGACTACAAGTAAATTCCTGAATTTATTGGGGAACACAGGTTAAGGGTGTTTAAAAATAAACTGCAGTATGTGGAAAGAGAAGTCAGATACTTTGGGTATGTAATTTCTGTAGGAAAATGGAGAATTCTGAAAAAATTCAGGACATTGTGCAGCTTCCTCTGCCCAGGACAAAGAGGGAGTTGTGAAAGTTTCTAGGTCTAACTGCATGCTGTAGATTATGAATAGAAGCATACACACCAAAAAAAAAACCAACCCAAAAACAAAAACAAAAAAAACACAAATATCTCAAACTATTAGAGGGAAAACCCAACATATTAAAATGGACAGAAGAGGAAAAATAATTAGTAGAAGTACTGAAATGGGACTTAATTGCAGCACCTGGGTTAGAACTGCCTGCCTTAAAGGAACCATTTCACCTTTTTTTAACTGTCATTGAAGAAGCTGCTTTAGGAGTTCTAACACAAGAGTAGGAAGATAAAAGAAAACCTGTTGCATACTTGCCTAAGCTATCAGACCCTGTATCTGGAGGTCAGCCCTTATGTGTCCAGGTGATAGTAGCAACTGCCTTATTGGTGGAAGAGAGTATGTGTGTACCCTTTGGGAGTGTAAGGAAATTGCTGAGTTGTTGATTTTATGTGTTTCTCACCCCTCCTGAAGAGATTGCTGCACATTTTGAGGCATGATCATTAAAAACAAACAAAAAAAAGAATCCGCTCTTCAACCTCTTGGAAAAGCACAGTGCCAAAACCTCGCCTGTGGAGCTGGAGTGGGCATAGAACAATTGGTCCAGCTTAGAAGGAGTCGCGGATCGCATAAATTCTCTCCACAAGTAAACTTGCATGGGGGAGGGAAAGGGAAAATCAATCATTTGTGCAGCTCTAGGAGCTGCTCTTGCTGCTGCTGTAGAGATTCACATTGAACAGCACATGGCAGAAACCCAAATTGCTCAGTCCTTGCAGGAATTGGTTATATACCTGCAGAACCAAGTAGAAGATCTTAGGGGACAGTCAGAAAAAGAACATTCAAATGTCCTGCTTCAGCATGTCCTTAGAGAAAATTGTGTCAAGAGAAATGAGAGGGAGTTCCTCAGGTAGTGACTTCTATCCAGGAGAAAATCTGGGGGATGTGAGAGCCCAAAAAGACAAATCAGGAAACCTGGTGACCCTTCTCTGCCCTTTGATAGAAACTGGGCATGCATATGAAGAGAGTGAAGGTGGGTATTCAGATGTTAGTATCAAGGAGGTCACCTATTCTGAAAGATTTTGGTCACACTCCTAGGGAATCAGAGACAGAGTATGTATGGAAAGTGCCACTAACAGGGAGAACAGATCCTGTTAACTGAAAAGGAATCAGAGGGTTATTGGGGACCTGGAATACTTTTCACCACTGGCAGCCACTGTGCCCCGTAGTTCCTTACTCAAAGAAATGCTTACTGGGATGATTACTCCCCAGGACAACTGATGTTGATTGATTTGCTGCACATTGGTCCTGTTCCTTTAACCCTCTAAGAGCCTCTTAACAAATACATCTGGAAGGCTCAAAGACAATCAGGGGAAGATGTATCAAATTAACCATCTGGATTTCACCCACCTTCCAACATTTGGGACCAGGAAAGTTATTGTTGTTTTCTTTTCCAGTTATGCTTTCTCTAACCTTGGTTCCTCTGGAACTGGGAAGTTCTCTCTCTTTTGTTTTCCAGATGCTAACAAATGCTGATCCTGTTGCTGTACCTCACATGTTCCCTTCTCACCCTGCTCCTTTCTCTGGGATCCCCAGGGTATCATTAATGTCACTGTTTCAGACAGGCATATTCTTCAGATTAATTTTTGTAATTACTTATGCTGACCCTATCACATTCACTGGCTGGTCACAGTGCCCATATTGGGCATACTGGGCGTATGGGACTGAATTCTAATTCTAACAGAGGCTTAACCCTTTCAACCATGGTTAAGCACAGTGATAAAATATATTCAGGAAATGAATGGGGCCAAGATAGTGCTGGCTGACTCCCGCAACTCTGGGGAGATGCAGAACAAAAAGTAGGGTGCCGGATGCAACAAGTGATCTATGTGCATTGCAACACCCCTGTAATTTTCCCTGTCAGCACTGGGAACCAATGGGCAGATATTTTCTAATGTATTATCTCAATGGTAAAGAATTAGCATGAAAGACCACCAGTTAATTGCAGATGCACTTGCTATAACTCAAAATCATGTCTTCCTAAGCTATTAGTTGTAGAAGGTAAAGGAAATGCTCTACCCACTGAAATTTGAAGGATGATTTGGGACAGTGCAAACATATTTGAAAGAGAATTTCAATCTTAGTGGCATCTAGTTAATTTTACTCATCAAAGTTAATAACTTTGCCACAGCTTTTGTCCTAACAATGTGCAATGCTTCAGTACATACCATGTACCCAGTCATTGCACTGGGACTGAATCACAATGGGGTTCTGCCCTACCCATTAGAACACAGAGTACGGGCTCAACAGAATGGAAACAAATGACAAACTGTTGATGTTAGTTCATGTGCTGTATGGGAACAGGGAGGATTTATTTGTGAGAGTAATACCATCAAGACTCAAGACATTTGTCTTGACGCTGAGCAAAACATTTGCCATTTTTAGAGGTATCCCAATAAGACCCTTGAAATAGTGCTCATTTATATTGGTAAAGGATGTGTGTGCATGAGGACCTCTTACAATTTTATACTCTTAGGTAATATTACTGTAGATACAAGCAATCGTTCAAATGTCTGTGTTTGTAACTTCACTAACATTATGGGATGTGATTTCAATTATTCAGTGCCAGTTACGTCATATTAGTTCAATTATACATCAATCCAAGATTTGCCACCTGTCTCAATTGGAATTAATCTTGCTTTGGTAGAAAAATTATTGCAACATGACAATCTGTAGCAACATTTCTGTACCACCTTTCTTGTGGGATCAGGAAAGCCAAGGTGCAAGAAGAACTCAACTTGGGCGAGGGACGTAAAAAACAATAGGAAGACATTCGACAGGTACATTGGCCAGAAGAGACAGGCCAAAGTGAGTGTACTGCCTTTGGTAAATGTAAAAGGAGAACTGGCTTCAACAGACAAAGAGAAGGCTGAGGTACTGAATGAGTTCTTTGCCTCGACCTTCACTGGCGGCCTGGGTGAGTTCCAGTACTTCTCACATTCCTGAGCCCTGCATCCCTAAACCTCCAGATGGGGACCAGGGTGGTTCAACACGGCAAAGTGCAGAGTTTTGCACTCAGGCCAGAGGAGTTCCAGGCATCCATACAGACTGGAAGGAGCGGTCCTTGAGAGCAGCCCTGTGGAGAAGGACCTGGGCGTCTTGACAGATGAAAAGCTTAACATGAGCCAGCAGTGTGCCCACACAGCTCAGAAGGCAAATGGTATCCTGGATCCATCAGAAGAGGAGTGGACAGCAGGGACAGGGAGGTGATTGTCCCCCTCTACTCTGCTCTTGTGAGGCCCCATCTGGAATACTGCGTCCAAGTGTGGAGCCAGCAGTACAAGAAAGACAGGGAGCTGTTGGAGAGGGTCCAGAGGAGAGCCATGAAGATGATCAGGGGACTGGAGCATCTCCCCTATGAAGACAGGCTGAGGGAGCTGGGCTTGTTCAGCGTGGAGAAAAGAGCACTGTGGGGTGACCTCATTGCAGCCTTTCAGTACCTAAAGGGAGCATACAAAGAGGAGGGGAATCAACTCTTTAAAAGGGTTGGTAACTGCAGGACAAGGGGAAATGGTTTTAAGTTGAAGGAGTGAAGATTTAGGTTGGATGTCAGGGGGAAATTCTTTACTGTGAGAGTGGTGAGGTGCTGGAACAGGCTGCCCAGAGAGGTTGTGAATGCCCTGTCTATGGAGGTGTTCAAGGCCAGGTTGGATGGGGCCCTAGGTAGCCTGGTTTAGCATTAAATGTGGAGGTTGGTGGCCCTGCATGTGGCAGGGGGTTGGAGATTCATGATTCTTGAGGTCCCAACCCTTCCAACCCTGGCCATTCTGTGATTCTGTGATTCTGTGTTTATTGCTTGTAATCATATTTATGTGAAAGTCTGGCACATGCTGAGATGACTGGCCCAGCTCAAAATACCCAAGGAATCTGAAAGTTGGCCTAGGTATTAGATTACTTTTCCTAACTTTTTCTAGTCTCCTGATGATCCATGGGTAAGGTAAGTTCTGTTGTGCGCACTGGCAGCATTCACATTTTGCTCCTTTGCTTTTGTGTGATTTTAACATGTATCTTTCCCTTCTCCCCTCATTCCTCTTAATCTTTTTTTCTTGAAACCACCATGGGACAGTGATAGCAAGCTTTGCTCCGTTGGATGGTGTGAGAAGCGAGAATAATGCTTGGCTCAAAGTTTGTTCAGAGGCAGCCATCTGAGACATGAGAAGCTGGAGAATGCTTGGCTCAAAGCCTGTTCAGCAGCACCCATCCAAGTCATGACCTGCCCAACAAGTTTTTGAAGTTAACGGCTGACTACCATGAGCAAAGTGGTAAGAGGACAGATGTGCTGTTCCTCCTGATGAACAAAAATGTGGGTACCCCTACAGCTACCATCACTGTGGTGGACAGGACACAATGCCCCTGATAATTGGGGTAGTCAGGCCCGAATAGTTCTGAGGAAGAATAGGGAATCCCATCTGCCAAAAAGCAGCCATGTAAGCCAGCAAGACGTCACTGACCAACCTGCTGCCTCCGCATGGACCAGTGAGGCATCGCCAGGTTCCCTGGTGGTGACTATCCCTGCTCTGTAAACTGTTTGCTAAAATTTCTTTCTCTGCTATCACTAACTTCCCTATCTTCCCCACATCCCTTAGTGGCTTAGAACCTGTAATGCTGATTATGCTCTGAGATTTACCACCTGTTCATACTGGGCTGAACCATACAAGGGTGAAGAAATTGTTATCCTTAACAATCAATATTAGAGTATGGAGAACAGCAAGATGATTAGTTTTGATAAATTATTATTATCAATCATCAGGTCAGGTTAGTAAGGTAGTTTTCTTATATTAGAAATATTTCATAGTCTAGTTCAAAAACAAAAAAGGGTAAAAGAGGGGGAATTGTGAGGGGTGGATTGTGTTTTTGCAGTGGAAATTTCCAGTATTTCTGTATGTAGCATAGGATAAGCTACCTTTCATAAAAGAAAGTTGCTGAACAGAGTAAAATTGAGACTGGGGCGTTCTGACCTAGGTAAAATTGGCACAGGCACTAGGTAAGGCAATTGTGTGCAGTAGAGCAGGCACAGAACAGAACTGGTGTGCAGGTTGTTGAAAATATTGCCCTCTTATCATTATAAGAAGTACAGAACGTACCCAAAGACAATGGGTTGGTAGCAGACATTGTATAGAAGCATAACATAGCAACAGCATCGGAAGATTGTGAACTCAACCAGTGAGTGACTTTACCTGCATCACACCCAGGCTACATAACAGAATGGATTTCACTGACTGGTTATACAATTTCTCCCTTGTCAGTAGTGGGTTGCGCCCATTATTGCAATAATGCATAAACTGCTCTTCACAGAGATCTTTGCCTGATCTGTGATTAGAAATTTCTGGTCTTGAGCGTGTTTCTCACATAGCAGTAACACCGCGTAACAGTGTGGCTGTTCTGCAGGGGCAGCTGGCTATTCTGAACTTTCTAATCTTCCTTGCTAATTATGGAAAGCTTAGGCACTCACTGCTGCTGGAATGACAGAGAAAGCATAGATTCGTCTGGTTCTAATGGAGCTGACCAAGAATTTCATTACTGTTTCAGAAAGGATATTGGATGCAAGCTTGAGAGTACTTTGCAGTCAGAGGTAAAGGTGTGATACGAAAGTAAAAACAAACAATATGTGAGAAGATTGTCGTGAAGATCTAGGCAAAAAGAGTAAAAAATTAAAAAGGACACAGAAAAGAAAGCAAAAAGCACAGTGTCCTGTTGGAAGCTGTGGATGGCACGAGGAAAGAACCCATCCTCAGGATGAGCAGGGATATATCCTGAACAAAACAAGGGCTAAGCTGAAGAGCAAAAAAATCAGACTGCCCATTGAAACAAGCATGAAGAAAATGACCAGTTATTAAATTCATCAGTTATAACAAAGTTGTTCATTAATCAGGAAATGTTCGGGTATGTATTGCAATACAAGTCTCCAGACAAAAGAACAGAGCACCCTGAAAGGCAGCCTTATTAGTGTATGTACAGAAAGATTTGTTGCTGTGAGACAAAGTAACTGTAATGCTAAGATGGAAATGACGGGCCACCACAGGCCTCCCATATTGGAGAAGGGGTTTATGTCTGCCTTTTGAGATACACAGTTCTGGGAAAACTGGTGCTTCTTGCTGTTGCAGAGAGGATATACATACATAGAAGGGAGGAGACGATGGCAGCATCTTAGCTTTTACCCAAGTGTTCTTACTGGCATCAGCTAACCCTGCCCAGTTGCCTCTCATCCCTTCCCGTCAGAGCTCAGCAGTAAGAGTAATTCTGCTTGCTGACATGTTTAAGGAATATAGCACAGGGTGTGTCCTAAGAGCAAGCAGGACTGGGGGCTGTTAGATGTCATAATACCCCTTTAGCAGTGGGCTGGGATTGGGTACACCAGTGGCCAACTTAATGACAGTTTTAGCCCTGGGCTGGTTAGTGGGCTTTCACTGGGAGGAAGGGTGAAACCTGCATGATGGAGTCTGCCTCACTAGTTGAAGGAGGGACCTACAAAAACAGGTATGAATGTCTGCAGGAGCTGTCACAGACAGATGGAAATGGTACCACAATTTAACTGGATCTTACTTTCCAATCCAAGCCGAGGTGGAAAATGACTGAAAAGAACAGTTTGTGGACTGGGAGATGACATTGGAAAAAAAGTGCAGTGTGACTGTCTGGGAAATGAACTCTGCACAAATTGCAGTCTCAGCTCTGGCAAATGTTCAGATGCCATCATGCAAACAGTGAAATCAGACAATTAACTATGTGGTAAGTTGAAATGACTTGAAAAAAATTGAGACATCTTGCAAAAATTCAGTAAAACAAAATGCAGGTTGTAAATGCAAGCAACTCTTCCGTCATCAGAAGCAAAACGGGAACCTGGTAATTGATTCAAAGACATTGGCAAAAATGATGCAGCTGAAGCCTATTTTTCCAAAATAAGGTATAGACTCCTCCCCTGGAAATGAGATTTTCCACCAGCAGTCTACCTCCAGCCAGGAGTCTTCCTTCAGCTCCCAGGGGCACATGCTAGTCTCGGCAGGCACCCAGCTGTGAGGGTAATTGAGCAGTGCAGCAGAGCAGGTTTGGGATTTACAGCAGTCAAAGGCTTTAAAATGAGATTAGATAGCTCTTTAAAATCAACTGTAATCCAGAGTCAAAAGAAAATGCTATTGCTGGATGAATTTTCTCTAAGAGTTTAACAGGCAAAGGAAATGCAACAAGCAAACTGCCACTGCTGCCTAGCGTTGTTTTGGCAAGTCCTGACCATGCTGTTGGGGCCTGTGACTGTCACAGCTGGGAAAAGGAACAATTCCATGCTACGTGCCAATCATGGCCTACCACTAAAGCTTCCTTAGACAGGGCTTTGAAGTTTCCCAGTGCCAGACCGAAAATCAGACAAGAGCTGGGCTTGATAAGACATTCCTCTATATTTCAGGAGATATCAACAGTCCTGCACACCATCATGAGCGCATCCCATTAGAGAAAAGGCTGTTAACTCTCTCCCTTCCTGGTTGGTGAAAGTGAGTAAGTGATAGAATGCTTCATGCATAAAACATGAGCATGACCTCACATTTAAGAGTTTGACTTTTATTTCTAATTAGTTAGGAATTGTTCATTGGAAACAAAACTGTATTGGAAAGAGGATATCAGAAAGAGATCAAACTTTCAGATGAAGTTAGGCCTGATAAATTCTAAAAAATATTCCTAGTGGGCATTTTTCAGTGTGGGAATAGAGGGTCTGAAGTAGGTTTTCTGTCATGAGAATAGCCAATATATGCTTTTTTCAATTACTACTGTCAAGAATATAGGTTACAACTATTACTAATTCCAGGTTTGCTTTGAAAGAGCTGAATCTGGACTACTGTAGTTATTTGGGAAGCACTGAACACAAAATGTGCACATCAACACATGCACAGGCTGTGATGCGTCATGCATGCCCATCTCCGACCTCTGGTGTAAAATGGCACTGAAGTAAGCTTCAGAGAGACCGTGCAGTGCCTACAGTCACAAAGAACTTGTTTGTAGCTGGAAATGGTGCCCAAATCAACCAGGACACCACATCTCAACAATACCTGCCCTCCTGCTGCCTTTAGTCTGTCTTTTCTCTCCTTAAACACTAGTGCTTGTTCCTTTTTCCTCTGCAATTAATTAGCAGAAAAGTATTTATTCACTTTGAGGGGGAAAAAAAATCTTCCTCAGCCTGTTTAAGTGTGTTTAAGATATCTGTAAATCTCCTGAACAAATTGTTTCAAGGTCTATACTGAATGTGGGATTTAGTGCACTAAAATAAAGGAAAAGTTTAATGGAAAAGTGTGGTATGAGCCAACCATGACCTGATAAGGGAAACCAGGATGTACCAGATGCTCATTAAGCAAGACTAAAACTGCTTTGTTTATTATTAGCAAACGTTAGGAAAAACAATAAATCTGTCTTGTATAAAATGCAAAGTCATACAAGTAGGTGGTAATCATGTGTATAAATATGTTAAGGATTGTGGAATAAAGATGATGATAGCAAGACATTCATATTGAATGTGTGACTCGTCCTTCCTCACTGACTAAACAAAACAGCAACAACTGAAGTCTTACATCCTTATGGAAAATAACTATTATGGCTTCTACATATGTCTGTGCGTCTGTTTATTCAACAACTCCCCAGCAAAGCTGGATACTCTTAGTCCTGGCATGTCAATGACATCGATGTAGGAATCTAGTGCATCCTCAGCAAGTTTGCTGACCACACCAAGCTCAGCGGTGCGGTTGACATGGTGGAAGGAAGGGATGCCATTCAGAGGGACCTCGACAGGCTTGAAAGGGGGCCAGGTGAACCTGATGAGGTTCAACACGGCAAAGTGCAGAGTTTTGCACTTGGGCCGGAGGAATCCCAGGCATCCATACAGACTGGAAGGAGCGGTCCTTGAGAGCAGCCCTGTGGAGAAGGACCTGGGCGTCTTGACAGATGAAAAGCTTAACATGAGCCAGCAGTGTGCCCACACAGCTCAGAAGGCAAATGGTATCCTGGATCCATCAGAAGAGGAGTGGACAGCAGGGACAGGGAGGTGATTGTCCCCCTCTACTCTGCTCCTGTGAGGCCCCATCTGGAATACTGCGTCCAGGTGTGAAGCCCGCAGTACAAGAAAGACAGGGAGCTGTTGGAGAAGGTCTTGAGGAGAGCCATGAAGATGATCAGGGGACTGAAGCACCTCCCCTATAAAGACAGGTTGAGGGAGGTTGTTCAGTGTGGAGAAAAGAGCACTGTGGGGTGACCTCATTGCAGCCTTTCAGTACCTAAAGGGAGCATACAAAGAGGAGGGGAATCAACTCCTTGAATCAGTAGATAACAGCAGGACAAAGGGGAATGGTTTTAAGTTGAGGGAGGGAGGGTGTAAGCTGGATGTCAGGAGGAAGTTCTTTACAGGGAGAGTGGTGAGGTGCTGGAACAGGCTGCCCAGAGAGGTTGTGGATGCCCTGTCTATGGAGGTGTTCAAGGCCAGGTTGGATGGGGCCCTGGGCAGCCTGGTTTAGCATTAAATGTGGAGGTTGGTGGCCCTGCGTGTGACAGGGGGTTGGAGATTCATGATCCTTGAGGTCCCTTCCAACCCTGGCCATTCTGTGATTCTGTGATTCTGTGAACCTTTGCTATGGAGCATGTTGCCTCGCATTGCCCAGGCCATGCTCTTATCATCATCCCAGAGGTAATGGCTATGCCACTGAGAAAGGGGACATGTTGCCCTTCATCAGAGAACCTACAAGGAGTGGGTCTGAGGAGCATGGGACAAGACCTTCCTGTGCAGCCATCCCTATGGTACAAGAAAGAAGGTTGGCCTTACTTGCTGTTATCTTATCCATGGCTATACTGCTTTAAGTGCTAGTATGTCTTCACTCTTCTGAAGGCATGGTATTTCTGTGTTGATACTTGCTGAGCTCTTGTGTCTGGTTCCAGTAAGGCCAGAGCTGGAGTCTTCTAGGGCTGCTAACCTTTTGTCCAGCAGCTCAGTTGGCTACTAGTTTCTGTTGCATTAACCACAAGAAATAAAGATAATCATAATTAAAAACTCAATAAAACGGGTGGTGCCATCTACTGGGAAATGGTATTTTTACTTTTTGATCCATAGATAGGACCAGGGAACAGTAAAGCAGTCTTACAGCAGGAAGGGGCAGTAAGAAATGATTCAGTTTTCAGACTTGGAATATTTTGGACCTGGAAGTATTCATCCTGCTGCAGCAAAATGGATATTAAATGCCCTGCAGCTGTGACAGACAGATGCAGGATGTTTAGAAGGTAGGGGATAGTAGGGAAAAGCATTGAGTGTGAAAAACAGCTTAGAGAGAATCTCTGCTGTGTTTTTACCCAATGTATTTTTCAAAAAACTGGACAGAACACTCATAAAACATGGTATACTCTTGTCACCAAAATCTGCCTTGGAGCCTAAAGCATCTGAAGAGCAGAGAGCTCTGGAGCCTCAGGAGAGACTTTTTGGAGACCTTCCCCAAATATCCAAACATCATGGTACTGGTGTTGCCATAGTTTTGGTTATGAATCAGTTTGATTTGGTATGCTAAGCAGGCCACTGTGTCCTACTCAGCAGCAATTTCTCGTCTGTATTCATATACATAAAACACATAAACATTCAGTCAGGCTTTGCTGAAGCACCTATACACAAAGTTTATAGATGCTTTAACAAGCCATTGTGTCTGGACTAATTATGCCTCCATTTAATTTAGTGGGAGTTTCATCTCTGCAATCTGTGTGAGAATAAAAATGAATGCCTTGGAAACACAAATTTTGAACTGTAAATCCTCTCTTTGTAATGTTTGGAATCCTACTCCATGCCTGCATGAATTGCTAGCAGCTTTTGTATAACAAGAAAAAAACAACTTTGTAATATTTCAAAAATGCAGAATTTTTTTAGATGAGTCCTGTTCTGCTCAGTTTGGTTTGGACAGATGAGATCATCTGGCCATTTAAATTTTTAAGTATACCTTGCAGGACAGACCTGGGACACTTTCAGAACCAAACATGCACTTTGGATGCTGGCTGAAAGGGTGATTATGGCAGAGAAGGTTGGAGGGACACTCCAAATACTAAGCTACTTGAATGAAATGCAGACCTGTTAACATGAAGGCCTTAAGAGCAATTTTTCCCATGATCTCAGAATGGCTTGAGTTTGATGGGACCTCAAATCCCACGCAGTTCCAACCCCTTGCCACAGGCAGGGCTGCCCCCACCAGCTCAGCTGCCCAGGGCCCCATACAACCTGGCCTTGAGCATGTGCAGGGATGGAGAACCACGGCTTCTCTGGGCAGCTGTGCCAGGGCCTCACCACCTCTGGGTAAAAAAAAATTCCTCCTGACATTTAACCTAAATCTCTTCTCTTCCAGTTTAAAACCATTCCCTCTTGTCAGTACCAGACCATGTAAAAAGCTGATCTCCCTCCTCTTTGTAAGCCCCTTTTAGGTACTGGAAAGCGTCAATGAGGTCTCCCTGGAGACTTCTTCAGGCTGAGCAACTCCATCTCCCTCAGCCTTTTTTCACAGTGGAGATGCTTTAGCTCTGTCGACATCTTCCTGGCTCTCCTCTGGTCCCGCTCCAACAGCTCCACATCCTTGTGCTGGAGGCGCCAGACGTGGATGCAGTGCTGCAAAAGGGGCCACACGAGGGCAGAGTAGAGAGGGACATCTTCCTCCCTGCTGCCGCCCCGCTGTTGATGCAGCCCAGGATGCTGCTGGCCCTGTGGGCTGCAAATGCACACTGTTGACATCTACCTGAACCTCCAAGTCCTTCTCCGCAGGGCTGCTCTCAAGAAGTTCTTCTCCCAGCCTGTACACATTTCTGAGATTGCCCTTGGCCTTGTTCAATCTTGCCGTGTTCACATGGGCCCACTCCTCAAATTTTTTGAGGTCCCACTGGATGACATAAGAGGGATTCCAACAGAAGGGTTATGATTATGTTTGTCTATTCTCTAGACAGCAACTGTACCACTCAGCCTGGTGTCATCAGCAAATTTGCTGAAGGCACACTCAATCCCACTGTGTATGTCATCGACAAGAATGCTGGAGAGCACCTGTCCCAGAGTGGGCCCATCACTCAGCACCAGCCCCCAGTTGGGCACAGACCTGTTGACCCCAACCCTCCAGCTGTGACTTTCCAATCAATTATCTAATTGTCCAGTCTTCAAATCCATCCCTCTAATTTAGATATAACGGTGTGGTGTGCGACCGTGTAAAAGGCCTTGCACAAGTCCAGGTAGATGGCATCACATACTATGTTGTGAGCTGGGCTCCTCTATATATTCAACGACTTGTTGTCAGAGGAAAAAGGAGTCGTATTTCCTCATCAGTGGACCTTTGGATGAAGACAGACCTTCCACTCTTCTCATCTTTCTCCTCTCCTTTTTGTGGGCTTTGATAGTCTTTGTATTTTTTGTCAGTCCTTCCCGCCCTTAGATGTGTTTGAGTTAGGTCTCCCATGTGAAGGGAAAAACAAAAAGAAAGTCTACCTTGAATTCTCTTTACTCCTAGTGTTTTTTTCTTACCTTCTTGGAGAAAAACATCACACATTCAACAGCAATGAAAAGTATTCAGTCTCCTGTGTCTGGTCTGTACGTCTTTCCACCTAGTGATTTTTTTATGTATAGATGGGAGAAGAACCTTTTTGAAATTTCTTACCTCAAATTCTCAGCCTGAAAAACTGCTGTTCCCAGAAGGAGCCAAAAGTGTCTGACAGAAAACTGCCTTTGGATCTCCTTTGCTGCTATGTGATGTGAATGGCTGTTTAATGGGAGAAAGGCACTACTGTCCTGGTCCCCCATTCTGCCAAATCTTTCAGAGAACTTTTGGGATTTTAATATCTAAGACTGCTTTGCCTCAGAAATACTATGACATTTAGCTCCCCACCTCTGGAACACCCCAGTGCATACTCCCATATGCATAAAACTCTTTAATATTCTTCCTGTTCTTAATCCTTGACTTTGAGAGAGTTTAAATGCCTCTTTGAAGGGAAAAAAAATCTTGATTTGGAGAACAAATGTAGCATTCCCAGCATTAGGAAGCACAAATTACTGCTTCTCTGAAAACCACGCATGAATGAAGTGGGGTCTGGGGTGTGAGGAAGGCAAGGGGCTGAGAAGGCTGGAGAAGGCAATTGGAGACATGATACTTAAAATGATTTCCTGCAGAACCATGATGTCAGTCTGTGTTTCATGAGGCCTCTTTGAATAGAATTTTAAGTGAAAACATGTCTGAATAATTTGTGTTCTTTTAGGAGGATAGGGAAACCCAGAAAAAAACATCTGTTTCTGCCAAAAGTGTTTTATTTTCAGGTTATGAA